CTATTACTACTTTTTTTGTACATCATAGTTAAAACAACTCAATGTTAAATAGAGTTGCAGCTCCATGTAAGCATATGGTTTGCAAATAATAATTCTAATTCAGTCCTGTTCATCCCCAGATAGAAATGGGAAAACCTGCTGGATGAACCTCTAGAAAGCTGCATTTCTTAAATTCATGTATGTGACCAGTGGAAAACCCACTATTTTTGTTTTATGACATTCTTCTATACTGTTTTTAAAGTAGAAACTCTCTTAAGGAAGCTTGCAGCGATAAAAAAAAATTAACCAATTAGTATCCTTGCTACACTTACAAACTTAACAAAGTTATATGGCTTACTTTTGGTTGAGTTAAATAGATTAGTATTTAGTAAAAGTAAAATCTCCTTTGAGTTGAACTTAAGGCTTGGTGATTTTGTAGCTATACGCCTGTACTTTTCTTAGTATCAATACTCTCTTTTAAAATGTTTTTCAACTTCCTAATCTTACCTAAACCATGGGATTTTTCTGATGTTCTCCCTTTTAAGTACTAACCAGATATTACCCCACTTAAATTTGAGAGACAACAATCTAGTTTTTACTGGATTTCAATTCAGTATTAGATTATTACTCTCTGGACTAGTAATTAACCTTACTCTATTAAATTAGTACACTTGTTACAACATATTCTTCCCAAAGTTTAGAAAAAGTGAAGATCAGTTAGCCAGTGGAACTAATTGCCCAGTAAGGACAACGAGGTCCTCTTTACTGGATGTATTCAGGCAGAGGCTAAACAATTATATGTTGGGGTATCTCAATTTGGATTCCTTCACTTAGCAGGATTTAGTTAATGCACTAATGAACGTAGGCGCCATAGCCTTACTGGCCCTTTCCCAAACTACAAACTTGGGAAGCAGGATAGAAATGTGGCTCAGGTATAAAGAGATATGAGGGATCCCTCTCAGAGAGAGAGAGAGACCCTCACCCCGATTTACACGAGAGCAAGCCTCTTCTGGCCCACAGACCCCCATTCAAAGTCCTCACACTCCGTCCACGACCTTCAGCAAGCCCTCTACTCGTTCCCCCGCTGCCAGCCGCTTCCTGCTGTCCAGGTGTCCCCGCTACAAGCGAGGCCCTGCCTCCCAGATCCCCCTTCCTCCTCCTCCTCCTCCTCCCTCCTCCAGCAACACCCAGCACCGGTCAGAGCAAGCCCCTCACACGTTGAGCACGTTGCGCTTGTTACTCAGGTAAGTAGCATCCAGCGGCACCAATTCTTTAACGAGGGATCCGGTCACCATTAAGCCCATCAATGCCCACGGCATCATCAAGGTCAAGTAAGGCAGCAAGAAGCGCGCGGCCCGGTCCACAAACTCCATGGCAGGGAGTCAGCGCGGCGAAGGAGAAAGCGGCGATCCCCCGGCACAGAACACCCGGCCGCCGTATTGCGTCGGCGCTTACGTCGGCCAGCTCCGCCTCCATCCCAGGCCGCTGCCCCTCCTTCGACGAAAGCTACTGTAACGGTCCAGAAGGGGGCGAGACGACATGGATGGAATGCGCATGCGTGTCTGTGCAGCCTTCGCGAGGCTTGTCCGTTGCTCCCAGGCGGCAGGGTTTAACGTTCGTCGCCTTCCGACTGCGACTGCGTGGTAGAAGTTACGTGGCGCGCCCTTTGTTTTGCGTTAGATTGACCTTTCTGGTGTGGGACCTTTCAATGCTTTGTATTACAACTCCTAGCATCCCCAGCGCGCTCGGACTTATACAAGGAAGCTTAAATAAAAAAATGAGGGGTCCTTTAAAATTGCATCCTGTTAATCTCAGCTATATGATTCTTGAAGGATTTTGGAACAGGCTAATCATGTTTGTGTTTACTTGGAAGGAAGTCCCACTGTGTTCAGTGGCTTTTGTTTTTTAAAAAACTGCATGTAGGTTTGAAGCTGTTCCGAAACTAAAACCTGATATTGGCCGTTAAGGAAGGCTGACAGTTAGCTCTAGAAGGGAGTATAGCATGCTTCATTAGAAGTTATTTGCTTCTTTTTTTAGGTATTCCTGTTTTTTCCACATCAGATATAGTGGTGCTTAAAAGTTTGTGAAACCTTTTGAATTTTCAATATTTCTGCATAAATTTGACCTAAAATGTGATCTGCTCTCCACTTATGCCCTAAAACAGCCCAATTAAATGAGTCAAAAACATCATACTTGTTCGTTGATTTATTGAGGAAAATGATCCACAGCTACCTATTTGTGTGTGGCAAAAGTATGTGAACCTTTGCTTTCAGTAACTAGTGTGCCCCCCTCGGGCAGCAGTAACTGCAACTAAATGTTTCTGATAACTGTTCATCAGTCCTGTACACTGGCTTGGAGGAATTTGAGCCTGTTCCTCCTTCCAGAACAGCTTCAACTCACGAATGTTGGTGTGCTTCCTCGCATGAACTGCCCGCTTCAAGTCCTTCCACAACGTTTCTATAGGATCAAGACTTTGACTTGGCCATTCCAAAACATTCACTTTCTTCTGCTTTAACTATTCTTCGGTTGTACATGTGTTTCGGATCGTTGTCTTCCTTCATGACCCACTTTCTCTTGAGCTTCAGTTCACAGACAGATACCCTGACACTTTCCTGTAGAATTTGCTGGTATAATTCAGAATTCATAGTTTCATCAATGATGGCAAAGCAGGCCCAACCCATGATACTGCCACTATTATGTTTCACTGACGGGATAAGGTTTCTGTGCTGGAGTGTAGCATTTGCCTTTGGCCAAACTTAACACTTTTTATTGAAGCCAAAAAGTTCTATTTTGGTCTTACCAGTCTACAGAATATTCTTCCAATAGCCTTCTGGCTTATCCACATGGTATTTCACAAACTGTAAATGAGCAGCAATGTTCTTTTTGGGGAGTAGTGGCTTTCTCCTTTCAACCCTGCCATGCACATCACTGTTGTTTGGTTTTCTCCTGATGACCACCAGGTTTTCTCCTGATGACCACTCATGAACACTGACATTCGGCAATGCAAGAGAGGACTCTAGTTCCTTAGATGTTACCCTGGGCTTCTTTGAGACCCCTTAGAGTATTACACACTTTGCTCTTGGTGTGATCTTGGTTAGTCGACCATTCCTGGGGAGGGTAACAATGGTGCTGAATTGCCTCCATTTGTACATAATCTACCTGATAGTGTCCTGGTGAAGTCCAAACTCTTTGGAAATACTATTGTAACCTTCTCCAGCCTGGTGAGTATCAACAACTGTTTTTTGGAGGTCCTCTAGAATCTTCTTTGTTCTTTGATAGAAAAGCAATTATGCACAATTTACTTTGTCTTCATTGACCTGACAAAAGCATTTGACACTGTAAACAGGGAGGCTCTCTAGATTATCCTGAGATGTTATGGATGCCCGAGGAAATTCATGAAGTTGATTCAACTACTCCATGATGGAATGACAGGACAGATTCTTTACAACAGTGATACATCAGCTGCATTTGCCATTTCCAATGGGGTAAAACAATCTGTTCTTTGCTTGCATGTTGTCATGTGCTGCCCAGGGTTTGAAGGAAGGAGTGTACATCAGGTACCTATTGGCGGCTCTTTTACCTTCACCCCCTGAATGCACAGATGAAGTGCCTTCAAACAGTCATCCAAGAAACCCTCTTTGCTGATAACTGTGCACTTCTGGCGCACACAGACAGTGATCTATAGTTGATGCTGAACAAATTCTCAGATGCTGCTGTGTTCTTTGGCCTGACTATCAACCTGAATAAGACAGAAGTACTTTACCAGCCTGTGCCAAATACCAATCCATAGAACCAAAAATCACTGTTGACGACACCTAGCTAACAAATGTAAAAAGCTTCAAATACTCAGGAAGCATCATCTCGAGCAATCGGTCTTTGGACAGAGAAATTAACTCCAGGATCAGCAAGGCCAGCCAGACACTGGGGTGGCTGCGTACTAGAGTCTTAATTAACACAACATCCATACCTCCACAAAGCTGAAAATCTACAGAGCTGGGGTTATCCCTTCTCTCCTATATGGATGTGAATCCTGGATTCTGTACCAAAGACACATCAAAGAACTGGAGAAATTGCATAGGCCTGTTCTCCACTCCATCCTGGGCATTTGTTGGCAAGGCTGTATCTCCAACCTGGAGATCTTGGATTGCACAGAGTCCACCAGTATTGAGTCCCTGATTACCAGAGCCCAGATGCAGTGAGTTGGACACGTCATCAGAATGAATGACCACTGTATGCCTCGCCAGTTGCTCTATGGTGTACTGGAGTCTGGGAAGAGACCTTGAGGTCGACCACACAAGCGCTACAAAGATGCTGTGAAAGAAACCCTATGCCAATGTGACATCCAGCCAAGAGAACTAGAAGCTGTGGCTGCTGACAGAACCCACTGGTGAGCCCTGTGCTATGAAGCCTCCACCAGCTTTGAAGACAGGTACTGCCAAAAACTGATAGAAAACCATGAGCAGTGTCACAGAATAACACCCACTGGATTTCCAGTGCCCCCATTGTGCTAGACTCTGCACTTCCAGACTGGGACTGCAGAGTCAAATGCCCACAGATGAACTGCACAACAGCATGTCTTCTTTGAACCCGAAGGACTACCATATATATTTGGGACTGTTTCCAAACCAATCTGGTTTATTGAGGAGTAAATAGGTACTGAACTGATTAAATTACTGTGTAGAAGACATGACAGTGTTGGCCACTGATCTTGACTTGTGAAGTTCTCATGGACAGTTTCATCAAAGTATTCATTCAGTGAGTACCTCAGAAACAGAATACCACTGAAATGTATTAGGAGGAAGATAGAAATATCACTATGTAAAGTATTTGCAAACTATTTAAACAATGGTAAAAGCCAAGCTGAAAAGGAATCTAACAAAATAACAAAAGATTGGCATACAGAATTTAGTGATCTGCATTTATGTTAATTTCCACAAAGTGGCAGCACAAGTGTTTGAAAAACCAGGTCTTTTCATTGTAATCTGCAGTGGTGGATTTAGCAGATGCAAATACAGTTACTATTTTAAAATCAAAGGGCAGATTGTGAGCAACATTGCCCCAGTCTCTTTCTACCCTCCAAGGGGATTGTGCACCCAAAGTTTGGAAACTCCCTCCCCAAGTTATGCATCCAAACTTCTGTCACAAATAATTGTTTTTACCTGCTCTGTTTTTTACCTGTCTATCAGGTGTACTATGTCTTGAATAATATACTCCTTTTACCTTTAAAACTATCATCCCAGATCTCCTAAAACACTTCAAAGCCCATACTTGCACAGTTCAATCCTGTAACCCTTCATCAGCAACATCCACCCATACTGAAAATACATCTAGTTTTTCATCATTTCCTTCTGACCTTTGACTCTTCTCCTCTTCCTCCTCTTTTGTACCTCTCTCTGCCTTACCATCACCACTCCCATCTCAATGGTGAGGAGGAGGTGAGGTGGAATGTATTTTGGCTTCCACGAGCAGAGAAGGACAAACTAGAACATTTAATTCATTAGAAGGGTGCTACCCAGAGACAGAGAAATCCCGAGAAGCGGTAACTAACACACATCTCCCCGTTCCTCCTTTAGAAGTTCCATTTGCAATTCCTTTACAAATGACGTGCCCATGTTTCAGCTCTGACACTGGCCAGTAGTTCTGAGAGGAAAAGGGACTGGTTTGGGATGGGGTAGGGGATCTTAGTGAATACCTCATTTAGAGGGGGGATGGAGTTCTGCAGTAAGGGGAGCCCTGTCTTTGTGAAAACTGTAATTTGTAAAGCCTTCTTCAGTCTTCGTTCTGAACTTTCCTACTTGCTGCATAAATTGAAATCTTCTTGAGCAAATATTTGAGTGAACCTCACATATTCCATCTTTCAGACATGTCCATCCACACAAATACATGGCATAAACCTACCTTGACATTATATGCCAATATATGATTCATTACATAATGTTCATAATGTTGACACATACTACTTTTGAAATATTGGTATTCACATGAATTCCTAAGGCAAGCAAATCCCATATGTGCAGGGCAAGTGCCGAAAAAGCTCTGCTCTGTCATCTAACCCTCTTTTTCTACAAAGCCAGAAATCAGGCTTGATCTTTGAAACTGATCTCAGTGCATTTTCCTAAGTACAGTCTGTCAGATGACCTAGTCCCTTTCTTAGTCTATGCAATATTATTTCTTTAATTTGTATAGCTGCCCATCTCACAAGTGTGATTCTGAGCAGCTCACAACAATTAAAACAACAGAGACAGTAAAAATATAAATGAACACTACAACTATCCTAAAATCACAATTAAAAAAATCAGTAAAACATAAAACATGTTTCCAGGCAATTTTCCCAAACCTGGTTTCTCTAAGACTAAGACTTCTCTAATATCTCTAAGACTAAAACTCCCAGAATTACTGGCTAATAAATAAACACTGGAGTAGGTTTTAAAGCTGATAGGAACACGTCAAATTAGAGCTG